ACATTCATTCTAGTTCTGGTGAAAAGCAGGCGGATCGTGAGATTGTCTCGATGGTCATCCCGATGGTTGTCCTGACGGTTGTCCCGATGGTTGTCTCGGTGATTGGCCCGATGGTGGTCCCGATTGGTACTCTGGGTGTGATGTTAATCGAGGGGTGGGCGACGAACCTTCCGACGGAGCTTGCCCATGCCCCCCCTCCTCCACATCCACCTTCTCCTCATCCTCCTCCTCCCCCTCCCCCTTCTCCTCCTCCTCCTCCTCCTCCTCCTCCTTCTCCCCCCCTCCACCCGTTCGGACAGCACGTGCCCAATCCTCCCAGCGGATCCAAAGGGGGCTCGATTATTGCCCCATCGAGAGCAGACAGTGACATCGGCACACACACACACACACACCTATCCCTCTTTCTTTATTTCTTATTGTTATAAGCCTGGGCGGGGGGGCCCCCCAAAAAAATTAGCCTGGCGAAGGACCCAACCATATGCAGTTGAGAGTACCGCAATTGTGAATATCTTCTTCGGTGGCGCTCCCTATGGGGCCACGAGCCGTATGAGGGGTGTGCCGAAATGCGTGGCAGTGTACAGAACACGAACGAAGACGATAGGTCCGAATATGAAAGCTTGAGCGCGTGCGAGTCGGATCGCGAGCGAGTCTGATTATGAATGAATCTGCGCGCGATTGATTCTATTCGCATGAATGCGTGCATGGATGCGCCCAGTGTAAATGTATGTATACGACTGTGAACAGTTTGGGTCTGCGTGACTCTCGGTACTCGTGACTCTGAGCGTCGCCTCTGCAGGGGGCTTCCCTGGGAACCCCGACGGCAGCGCCCGCGCGCCGCGACGCCCATGTGCATCGGCACGCCGCACACCTGGTGTGCGGGACGCATGCGGACGGCAGCACTGGGGCCTTCGGTGGAGCTCCCTGTGGGGCCACGAAACGTGTGAGGGGTGTGCCGAAATGGTGTGCGGGACGCATGCGGACGGCAGCCCTGGGGCCTTCGGTGGAGCTCCCTGTGGGGCCACGAAACGTGTGAGGGGTGTGCCGAAATGGGTGTGCGGGACGCATGCGGACGGCAGCCATGGGGCCTTCGGTGGAGCTCCCTATGGGGCCACGAAACGTGTGAGGGGTGTGCCGAAATGGGTGTGCGGGACGCATGCGGACGGCAGCACTGGGGCCTTCGGTGGAGCTCCCTGTGGGGCCACGAAACGTGTGAGGGGTGTGCCGAAATGGGTGTGCGGGACGCATGCGGACGGCAGCCGTGGGGCCTTCGGTGGAGCTCCCTGTGGGGCCACGAAACGTGTGAGGGGTGTGCCGAAATGGGTGTGCGGGACGCATGCGGACGGCAGCATGGGGCCTTCGGTGGAGCTCCCTATGGGGCCACGAAACGTGTGAGGGGTGTGCCGAAATGGGTGTGCGGGACGCATGCGGACGGCAGCCATGGGGCCTTCGGTGGAGCTCCCTATGGGGCCACGAAACGTGTGAGGGGTGTGCCGAAATGGGTGTGCGGGACGCATGCGGACGGCAGCCATGGGGCCTTCGGTGGAGCTCCCTATGGGGCCACGAAACGTGTGAGGGGTGTGCCGAAATGGGTGTGCGGAACGCATGCGGACGGCAGCAATGGGGCCTTCGGTGGAGCTCCCTCTGGGGCCAAGAAACGTGTGAGGGGTGTGCCGAAATGGGTGTGCGGGACGCATGCGGACGGCAGCACTGGGGCCTTCGGTGGAGCTCCCTGTTGGGCCACGAAACGTGTGAGGGGTGTGCCGAAATGGGTGTGCGGGACGCATGCGGACGGCAGCACTGGGGCCTTCGGTGGAGCTCCCTGTGTGGCCACGAAACGTTTGAGGGGTGTGCCGAAATGTGTGTGCGGGACGCATGCGGACGGCAGCACTGGGGCCTTCGGTGGAGCTCCCTGTGGGGCCACGATACGTGTGAGGGGTGTGCCGATATGGGTGTGCGGGACGCATGCGGACGGCAGCCATGGGGCCTTCGGTGGAGCTCCCTATGGGGCCACGAAACGTGTGAGGGGTGTGCCGAAATGGGTGTGCGGGACGCATGCGGACGGCAGCACTGGGGCCTTCGGTGAGCTCCCTGTGGGGCCACGAAACGTATGAGGGGTGTGCCGAAATGGGTGTGCGGGACGCATGCGGACGGCAGCCATGGGGCCTTCGGTGGAGCTCCCTTTGGGGCCACGAAACGTGTGAGGGGTGTGCCGAAATGGGCGTGCGGAGGCGCATGCGGACGCACCACGGGGAGCCGGTGGAAGCTCCCTGTGGGGCCACGAGGAACGTGTGAGGGGCTTCGTGCCGAATAGGGAGTGTGCGGGAACGCAGCGGACGGCCAGCCATGGGGCCTGCGTGGAGCTCCCTGTGGGCCACGAAACGTGAGTGAGGGGGTGTGCCGAATGGGTCGTGCGGGACGCATGCGGACGGCAGCACTGGGGCCTTCGGTGGAGCTCCCTGTGGGCCACGAAACGTGTGAGGGGTGTGCCGAAATGGGTGTGCGGGACGCATGCGGACGGCAGCCATGGGGCCTTCGGTGGAGCTCCCTATGGGGCCACGAAACGTGGGAGGGGTGTGCCGAAATGGGTGTGCGGGACGCATGCGGACGGCAGCACTGGGGCCTTCGGTGGAGCTCCCTATGGGGCCACGAAACGTGTGAGGGGTGTGCCGAAATGGGTGTGCGGGACGCATGCGGACGGCAGGAGGAGAGGGGGAGGAGGAGAGGAGGAGGAGACGCGGACCACCGTCTCTTCAAAACGAGGACCCAACACCACAGGAAGGTTGGGAAATTAGCCTGGCGAAGGACCCAACCATATGCAGTTGAGAGTACCGCAATTGTGAATATCTTCTTCGGTGGCGCTCCCTATGGGGCCACGAGCCGTATGAGGGGTGTGCCGAAATGCGTGGCAGTGTACAGAACACGAACGAAGACGATAGGTCCGAATATGAAAGCTTGAGCGCGTGCGAGTCGGATCGCGAGCGAGTCTGATTATGAATGAATCTGCGCGCGATTGATTCTATTCGCATGAATGCGTGCATGGATACGCCCAGTGTAAATGTATGGATACGACTGTGAACAGTTTGGGTCTGCGTGACTCTCGGTACTCGTGACTCTGAGCGTCGCCTCTGCAGGGGGCTTCCCTGGGAACCCCGACGGCAGCGCCCGCGCGCCGCGACGCCCATGGCGGCACGCCACACACCTGGTGTGCGGGACGCATGCGGACGGCAGCACTGGGGCCTTCGGTGGAGCTCCCTGTGGGGCCACGAAACGTGTGAGGGGTGTGCCGAAATGGGTGTGCGGGACGCATGCGGACGGCAGCCATGGGGCCTTCGGTGGAGCTCCCTATGGGGCCACGAAACGTGTGAGGGGTGTGCCGAAATGGGTGTGCGGGACGCATGCGGACGGCAGCACTGGGGCCTTCGGTGGAGCTCCCTGTGGGGCCACGAAACGTGTGAGGGGTGTGCCGAAATGGGTGTGCGGGACGCATGCGGACGGCAGCCATGGGGCCTTCGGTGGAGCTCCCTATGGGGCCACGAAACGTGTGAGGGGTGTGCCGAAATGGGTGTGCGGGACGCATGCGGACGGCAGCACTGGGGCCTTCGGTGGAGCTCCCTGTGGGGCCACGAAACGTGTGAGGGGTGTGCCGAAATGGGTGTGCGGGACGCATGCGGACGGCAGCCTGGGGCCTTCGGTGGAGCTCCCTATGGGGCCACGAAACGTGTGAGGGGTGTGCCGAAATGGGTGTGCGGGACGCATGCGGACGGCAGCACTGGGGCCTTCGGTGGAGCTCCCTATGGGGCCACGAAACGTGTGAGGGGTGTGCCGAAATGGGTGTGCGGGACGCATGCGGACGGCAGCCATGGGGCCTTCGGTGGAGCTCCCCCTGTGGGGCCACGAAACGTGTGAGGGGTGTGCCGAAATGGGTGTGCGGGACGCATGCTGACGGCAGCACTGGGGCCTTCGGTGGAGCTCCCTATGGGGCCACGAAACGTGTGAGGGGTGTGCCGAAATGGGTGTGCGGGACGCATGCGGACGGCAGCCATGGGGCCTTCGGTGGAGCTCCCTATGGGGCCACGAAACGTGTGAGGGGTGTGCCGAAATGGGTGTGCGGGACGCATGCGGACGGCAGCCATGGGCCTTCGGTGGAGCTCCCTGTGGGGCCACGAAACGTGTGAGGGGTGTGCCGAAATGGGTGTGCGGGACGCATGCGGACGGCAGCACTGGGGCCTTCGGTGGAGCTCCCTATGGGCCACGAAACGTGTGAGGGGTGTGCCGAAATGGGTGTGCGGGACGCATGCGGACGGCAGCCATGGGGCCTTCGGTGGAGCTCCCTATGGGGCCACGAAACGTGTGAGGGGTGTGCCGAAATGGGTGTGCGGGACGCATGCGGACGGCAGCCATGGGGCCTTCGGTGGAGCTCCCTATGGGGCCACGAAACGTGTGAGGGGTGTGCCGAAATGGGTGTGCGGGACGCATGCGGACGGCAGCCATGGGGCCTTCGGTGGAGCTCCCTATGGGGCCACGAAACGTGTGAGGGGTGTGCCGAAATGGGTGTGCGGGACGCATGCGGACGGCAGCACTGGGGCCTTCGGTGGAGCTCCCTGTGGGGCCACGAAACGTGTGAGGGGTGTGCCGAAATGGGTGTGCGGGACGCATGCGGACGGCAGCCATGGGGCCTTCGGTGGAGCTCCCTGTGGGGCCACGAAACGTGTGAGGGGTGTGCCGAAATGGGTGTGCGGGACGCATGCGGACGGCAGCCATGGGGCCTTCGGTGGAGCTCCCTATGGGGCCACGAAACGTGTGAGGGGTGTGCCGAAATGGGTGTGCGGGACGCATGCGGACGGCAGCCATGGGGCCTTCGGTGGAGCTCCCTGTGGGGCCACGAAACGTGTGAGGGGTTGGGCACACGAAGGAGGAGGGGGAGGAGGAGGAGAGGAGGAGACGCGGGCCACCGTCTCTTCAAAACGAGGACCCAACACCACAGGATGGTTGGGAAAAACATTGATTTTCTTAAGGTTTTGGTACGATCTTGGCCTCTTCGGGGCCTCCTTAGGGAGCTCCCTGGCAACTTGGAGCCGTCTTGGGGCCGGCTTTGGGCCTCTTGGGGCCATCTTGGGGCCATCTTGGGGCCATTTTGGCGCCTCTTGGGGCCTCCTGGGCGCCTCTTGGGGCCATCTTGGAGGAGATCGATCAAAGAAGAGGGTGGGGTCAATTAGCATTGCCCCCCCAAGAGGCCAAAATGGGGCCAAAACCCTAGTACAACCGATGATTTTGGCTTCCTCGCCGAGGCCGTTTTGGACGCTCCAACTACCTGCGAAACCCCCCGTCCAGGTCCAGGGGAGGGGGTAGGAGGAGGGGTAAACCCCTTCCCAAGTTGGAAGAGGGAGGGGTGGAAGAGGATCTGTTCTAGACCACCTACGCCCAGAGGGCTGGTGGGATTATTATTATTTGGGGTACCTATTCGACGGAAGTGATTCTCACGAACCATCTGGATGCAGCAGCAATGATAAACACACTTGCTATTGGGTAACGGATAACGGTCAGAATGCTGCTATCCAGACACTGAGCATTACCCTGAGCGAGGTCAAGTTTATCAGTCGCATACGCGTGCACATGCCAGCATTAATTGAGCGCCGAAGCAACTACCGCATCGAGGTTGCGTCAACTGAGCTTGGTACGCTCAACGATCGCTCTGGAGGCTACGTCGACGTTTCTGGATGGACGGAAGACTTTCTGGACACCTACATCATGGAAGAGGTCAAAGTTGTGCAGATCTCTTTACAGCCACACTATTTCTACAGCAGGTACAGTGCCTTCCTCGACGAAGTTGAGCTTTTCGAGATCCCACCGACTCCATCGCCAACATCGGTTCTGATCTGGGCGATTGGGAGCTGCGGGCAGAGCTGCGACAGCGTGTGTTCGGGGATGGGTGGGACGTGCGACTCAGCTGCTAATGCTCAGATCAGGTCCTGCCAGTCTCTCTTGGACACGTTGATTTCCGCAGGTATCACGTGGCATACAACTTTGTCTTGCAACGGCGACGGCGGGAGGTCGTACGAAGGGATGCCCGCGCTGAGCGATACTGGAATTATGACGTGGTGGACCGGCGGGTCCAATACATTTTGTAATTCAGTCAGATATGATGCACATCGCCCATTGTGTTCGTGCACGGGAGCCAGTGCGGCGCCTCCGACCTCTTACTCTCCTTGCTACCCGACCCCCTACCCGACTGCCTACCCGTCGCCCTTCCCGACCCTTTACCCGACTGCCTACCCGTCGCCCTTCCCGACTGCTTACCCGTCGCCCTTCCCGACCCTTTTCCCGACTGCCTACCCGTCGCCTTTCCCGACTGCCTACCCGTCGCCCTTCCCGACCCTTTACCCGACTGCCTACCCGTCGCCCTTCCCGACGCCCTTCCCGACGCCCTTTCCGACACTTTACCCGACCCCTTACCCGACTGCCTACCCGTCGCCCTTCCCGACCCTTTACCCGACTGCCTACCCGTCGCCCTTCCCGACGTCCTTCCCAACACCCAGCCCGACGCACCTTCCGACGCCCAATCCGACAAGCAATCCGACGAGTAGCCCGACCTCGTCCCCGACTCCGAGCCCGACGCAGGTGGTGACGCCAGCACCGACCCCAGTACCAACAGTGACGTCCGCGTCAACGCCAGCGCCGACTTTGCCATTATGCTACGGCGTTAACGGCAACACCGCGGGCAACAACAATGGTATCAACATTGGGGGTAAGATCAGTGCCGCGGACGAGTGCAATTGCCTTGACAAATGTTATGCGCAACCGGGATGCGTTGGATATGTGTACATGGTCAGCATATCTGGGTGTTGGCTGAAACAAACGTGGGGAGGTTCGACTGGTGCCGATGGTGGATGCAGTGAAGGCGATTGCTATTCTGGCTCGTTGAGTCTGGTGTCAAAAGTGACGCCCTTCGCGACGTCCTTCCCAACACCCAGCCCGACGCACCTTCCGACGCCCAATCCGACAAGCAATCCGACGATTACGCCACCGCCCATGGGCATGACGGTCGCGGGCGTCGGCGATCCGCACCTCGTCAACACGTACGGCCAGAAGTTCGACCTCTTTCAGGCTGGGCACCACACGCTGATCAAAATCCCCAGGTGGGCGCGGCAGCGGACCAATTTCCTCGTGCAGGCGATCGCGAGTCGTGCCGGAGCTGGCTGCGCCGACTTGTATTTCACGGAGGTCAACATCAGTGGCAGTTGGACTCGGCGTCACAGGGCGGCGGACCTGCGCTGGGCTGCCGAGGTCGCCAGGCCAGGCAAGGCGAAGTGGATGAAGTTCCATGGCGGAATCAGCGTCAAGATCGCCCACGGCCACACGGCGCAGAGCACGAGGTATCTCAACATCTTCGTGAAGGGGCTGGGCAGGGTGGAAGGGCCGGTGGGCGGGCTCCTCGGCGGGGACGACCACACAGCGGCCGCCACTCCAGACAGGGGCTGCAAGAAGCTTCTGAGCCTATGAACCAGGCAGTCTTGTGGTTTTTGTTACGTCTCTCGCACGCAGGCCATATGGCCGGTGCTTGGGCGTGGAGGCGCGATGTTCGCGCAGCGCACCAGTAGATCATACGGCCAATGCTGCAGATCCCGGAGAGGGGGGCGGACGACGCTGATGACGACGACGACGAGAGAACAATGACAAGGACCCAAGTGGAAGAGCCTCTCACACGCCCCGCCGGGGCCCGGCATTTCGCATTGCGAATTCGTGCTGGAGCTCCTGGGGTGAGTTATTTTGTAGTGAGCGCTGCTTGTGTGTGCTTGCACGATCTGGCCACACAGTTCCCCTGAGCGACTCATTCCTTCCCTTGCTGATTGCTCTCCGGAGCAGCACTGTGGCAGGAGACGTTTTGTTTGAGACAGCTGCCGCCGAAACTGGGGTCTCGGCCGGTCTTATTCGCCGTGGCCTTACACAATGCGCGCTGGCTGCCCGCGGCCAGCGCGCAGAGGGAAGGGATGGGGAACAGGAGGAGAATTAAGTCGGGCCTGTCCTTCTACAGGAGGAATATTCAACATTAGTATAGAAATAGTCCGGGGACCATCTTTTGGGTATTTTCTACTATTTTTTGAAAATGTTCTGGCATTTTTAACATTTCACCCAAAATCCCCTGTAGGAGGACAGGCCCGACCTGAGGCCAGCGCGCAGTTGGAAGGGATGAGGAACAGGAGGGGAATGAGGAAGTGGACTATTTGTTGAAATATTTTTAGATCATCTTTCGGGTATTTGTTTTGAATATTTTCCCCAAACAGCTTGCTGAACGGGGTGCTGTTGTGATAGAAACTAACTCCGGCCGAGGGAACGCGGAGCAGAGACATCCTCACACAAATTGTATAGTTTTGGCCGTTTCGCTTGAGACATCCTCACAACTCTCGTTTCTGAGTTGGCCGGGATTGGCCGTTTCGCCTGAGACATCCTCGAAAAGTTGCGCTCCGGGACGCCGCGCGAGAGGTGGTCCGGGCCGTTTCGCTTGAGACATCCTCGAAACTCTGAGCCCCGAGGTGCCGTGCGAGAGGTGGTCCGGGCCGTTTCGCCTGAGACATCCTCGAAACTCTGAGCTCTGAGATGCCTTGCGCGAGGTGGTCCGGCCCGTTTCGCCTGAGACATCCTTGCAACTCTGAGCTCTGAGATGCTGTGCGCAAGGTGGTCCGGCCTGTTTCGCACAAGACATTCTCGCAACTCTGAGCTCTCAGATGCTGCGCGAGAGGTGGTCCAGCCTGGGCGCCCAGAAGACCACATGTTACATATCCTCCATGAGACCCTGCGAGCCTCAGGAGGCCCCAGAGAGGCCCAGGAGGCCGCAGGACGCCCAGGACAGGCCCCAGGGGTCCCCCAGAAGATTCCCAGGAGGCTCCCAGGAGGCCCCAGGAGGCCCTCTATCAGAACGTGTCAAGTTAATACACATCCGGTGTCGATTCGTTGATTCTTCCTGCTCTTGTGCCTCCCCCTTCCATTTTGAGGGGCCCAAGCGGCCACAGGTTAGATATCCCCCCTGGGAGCCCCAAGAGGCTTCAGGAAACCTCAGGTGGAGTTCAGGAGGCCACAGGAGGCCCAGGAGGAAGCTCCAGGAGGTCCCCAGGAGGCCCAGGAGGCACCAGGAGGCCGCAGGACGCCCAGGACAGGCCCCAGGGGTCTCCAGGAGATTCCCAGGAGGCTCCCAGGAGGCCCCAGGAGGCCGCCTATCAGAACGTGCCAAGTTAATACACATCCGGTGTCGATTCGTTGATTCTTCCTGCTCTTGTGCCCCCCCCTCCATTTGGAGAGGCCCAAACGGCCACAGGTTAGATATCCCCCCTGGGAGCCCCAAGAGGCTTCAGGAAGCCCCAGGTGGGGTCCAGGAGGCCACAGGAGGCCCAGGAGGAAGCCCCAGGAGGTCACCAGGAGGTCCCAGGAGGCCCCAGGAGGCCCCCGCAACTCGGAGCTCTGAGACGCCGCGCTCGAGGTGGTCCGGCCCGTTTCGCCTGAGACTTCCTCGCACCACGTTTCGCCCGAGACATCGTCGCAACTCTGGGGTCCGAGATGCCGCGCGCGAGGTGGTCCAGCCCGTTACGCTGGAGACATCCTCGCAACTCTAGGCTCCGAGATACCGCTCGCACAAGACATTCTCGCAACTCTGAGCTCTCAGATGCTGCGCGAGAGGTGGTCCAGCCTAGGCGCCCAGAAGACCACATGTTACATATCCTCCATGGGACCCTGCGAGCCTCAGGAGGCCCCAGAGAGGTCCAGGAGGCCGCAGGACGCCCAGGACAGGCCCCAGGGGCCCCCAGAAGATTCCCAGGAGGCTCCCAGGAGGCCCCAGGAGGCCCTCTATCAGAACGTGTCAAGTTAATATACATCCGGTGTCGATTCGTTGATGTTTCCTGCTCTTGTGCCCCCCCACCCTTCCATTTTGAGGGGCCCAATCGGCCACAGGTTAGATATCCCCCCTGGGAGCCCCAAGAGGCTTCAGGAAAACTCAGGTGGAGTTCAGGAGGCCACAGGAGGCCCAGGAGGAAGCCCAGGAGGTTCCCAGGAGGCCCCAGAGAGGCACCAGGAGGCCGCAGGACGCCCAGGACAGGCCCCAGGGGTCTCCAGGAGATTCCCCGGAGGCGCCCAGGAGGCCCCAGGAGGCCGCCTATCAGAACGTGTCAAGTTAATACACATCCGGTGTCGATTCGTTGATTCTTCCTGCTCTTGTGCCCCCCCCTCCATTTGGAGAGGCCCAAACGGCCACAGGTTAGATATCCCCCCTGGGAGCCCCAAGAGGCTTCAGGAAGCCCCAGGTGGAGTTCACGAGGCCACAGGAGGCCCAGGAGGAAGCCCCAGGAGGTCCCCAGGAGGCCCCAGGAGGCCCCAGGAGGCCCGCGCAACTCGGAGCTCTGAGACGCCGCGCTCGAGGTGGTCCGGCCCGTTTCGCCTGAGACTTCCTCGCAGCACGTTTCGCCCGAGACATCGTCGCAACTCTGGGGTCCGAGATGCCGCGCGCGAGGTGGTCCAGCCCGTTACGCTGGAGACATCCTCGCAACTCTAGGCTCCGAGATGCCGTTCGGGATGAAGAGGAGGTGGAGGAGGAGGAGGAGGAGGAGGAGGAGGAGGAGGAGGAGAAGGAGGAGGGGGAGGATATGGAAGGGAGAAGGAGGAGGCGGATGATGTGCATGAGGGAGCACGCAGGAGGAGGGGGAGGCCCCAGAGAGGTCCAGGAGGCCGCAGGACGCCCAGGACAGGCCCCAGGGGCCCCCAGGAGATTCCTAGAAGGCTCCCAGGAGGCCCCAGGAGGCCGCCTATCAGAACGTGTCAAGTTAATACATCCGGTGTTGATTCGTTGATTCTTCCTGCTCTTGTGCCCCCCCCTCCATTTGGAGAGGCCCAAGCGGCCACAGGTTTGATATTCCCCCTGGGAGCCCCAAGAGTCTTCAGGAAGCCCCAGGTGGGGTCCAGGAGGCCACAGCAGGCCCAGGAGGAAGCCCCAGGGAGGCCCGCGCAACTCGGAGCTTTGAGACGCCGCGCTCGAGGTGGTCCTGCCCGTTTCGCCTGAGACTTCCTCGCAGCACGTTTCGCCCGAGACATCGTCGCAGCTCTGGGGTCCGAGATGCCGCGTGCGAGGTGGTCCAGCCCGTTTCGCCTGAGACATCCTCGCAACTCTAGGCTCCGAGATGCCGTTCGGGATGAAGAGGAGGTCGAGGAGGAGGAGGAGGAGGAGGACGAGGAGGAGGAGGAGGAGGAGGAGGAGGAAGAGGAGGAGGAGAAGGAGAAGGAGAAGGAGATGGAAGGGAGAAGGAGGAGGCGGATGATGTGCATGAGGGAGCAGGCAGGAGGAGGGGGAGGAGGAGGAGGAGGAGGAGGAGGGAGAAGGAAGGGAGTTGCAGGAGAGGACCTAACGGGAAGCGAGTGCGATGTGGACTTGTCAAAACGTGTGCGAAAGATTGTCCGGCCCGTTTCGTTTGAGACATCCTTCCAATACTGAGCTCCAAGATGTCGCTCGCGAGGTGGTCCGGCCCGTTTCGATTGAGCCATCCTCGCAATGCGAGGCTCGAAGATGTTGCGCGCGAGATGGTCTGGCCCATTCTGCCTGAGACGTTTCGTAGCACAGGAGCTCCAATCACAACCTCTCTCATTCCTTCTCCCGCCTCCCTCTTCTTATTTCCCGCCTGGTTCCTCTTCTCTCTTCCCTCCTCCCGCCTCCCGCCTCCCGCTGCTGCGCCTCTGTCTCCGCCTCCCCGTCCCCGCCGTCGTCGTTTCTGCCGCCTCAGCATCCGTCATGCGCGCACTGCCTTCCGTCCTCCCCAGACATCCGACGTCACGATTTTTCCCCAAACAGCTTGCTGAACGGGGTGCTGTTGTGATAGAAGCTAACTCTGGCCGAGGGAAGTCGAAGCAGAGACATCCTCACAAAAATCTGATGGTCCGGGCCGTTTCGCTTGAGACATCCTCACAACTCTCGTTTCTGAGTTGGCCGGGATTGGCCGTTTCGCCTGAGACATCCTCGAAAAGTTGCGCTCCGGGACGCCGCGCGAGAGGTGGTCCGGGCCGTTTCGCTTGAGACATCCTCAAAACTCTGAGCCCCGAGGTGCCGTGCGAGAGGTGGTCCGGGCCGTTCCGCCTGAGACATCCTCGAAACTCTGAGCTCTGAGATGCCTTGCGCGAGGTGGTCCGGCCCGTTTCGCCTGAGACATCCTCGAAACTCTGACCTCGGAGATGCCGCGCGAGAGGTGGTCCGGCCCGTTTCGCCTGAGACATCCTCGAACTTCTGAGCTCTGAGATGCCCTGCGCGAGGTTCCGGCCCGTCTCGCCTGAGACATCCTCGCAACTCTGAGCTCTGAGATGCCGTGCGCAAGGTGGTCCGGCCTGTTTCGCACAAGACATTCTCGCAACTCTGAGCTCCCAGATGCCGCGCAAGAGGTGGTCCAGCCTGGGGGCCCAGAAAACCACATGTTACATGTCCTTCCTGGGATACCGTCTGGGAGCCGCCGGGGCCCCAGAGAGCTCCCAGG